GTGCCCTTTTGTCTTTAACAGAAAATCTGCCCTTTCTCTAGTTCCTCCCACAGTCATACCAGTTCTGGCAACTGTGATTTTTTTTTTTTGTTGCACCTCAACCCATGCTGCAGGACTGACCCTCTTCAGTAACATAGCAGAGAAGCTGGAGCAGGGATCTTTGGCCCTGCAGCTATTTGATAGTAATGCATTTTTTATGCTCAAATGCCAAGACCTTGGCTTTCCTTCTTTTTGAAGCCATAGCACCTCCTTGCTGTGTGTGTGTGTGCAAATTAAGATATGCCTTCCCATGCCTGAACTAAAACAGCATGTAGCAATATATGCCAGGGTGAGAACTTCTCTACTGTTTCTGCACGGTGCTGATAACATTTCACATTGTGTTCCTGCTACTAGTGAACTCGTGTCTGAGGAAATGCGTTGTAGGTCCAGGAACTTTAATTGGCATGGCCCTGTAATTAAGGCTGTGATCAGTAGTCAATGGCAGACCATAGTTCCATGGAGAGTAACACTTCCTCAGACAGACAGAACCCATTTCTATTTTGGTAGTAGTGGGGTTATTTTCTTTTGACCCACAAACATATCCTATGCACATCATCAGGGCATAGGGATCATTGTAGGTATTTACATACTATCAGGAAAACACTAGGCAGAACATGGTAATCTGTGCACGATTTAACTCCAAAGACCTATTACCACAAATCAAAAGGACAACTTAGTTCTTCAGCTTCTGCAGTAAAAATTAAAATGTTGTAGGTCTCCACCATACTCTAGCATGTATTATTCTCCAAATAATTATGTGTTCACCCTGGTGCTCACACACAAGAACAAAATGCTTTCACATTTCCCATATAGAACCCATCCCTGGGATATAACTGACTGCCCTCAAGTCCTTCTGAAATCAAGATCCCTCAGTCTATTTCACTTACATCAGCTTTAAGATTAATGTAGAGCCACTGAGCCAGGGAGTTACTCCTAATTTAGACCAGCAATAAGTCTAAGCCGAGACGAGACCAGAGCCAGGGTGACTACACAGGATTGGTGACAGCTCCTATCTGGAAGAGAAATCTCCACCTGATTCTAACAGTCAGAAATCAAACTGAGGTGGAAGGAGGGACCTGCAGTTACAAAGCAACCCGGAGAAGTGAGAAAATGAGGGCTCGTATAACACATAGAGGGAGAGAACCCTCTTACAAAAGACACTGTGGTCATAGAAAACTTTGGCGTCTCTACAAATCTTTAAATGCAAAAGACAAATTATAAAATAAAAATTATACTATCCAGAACACTGTTGCTTATGTGGATATTACCACAGTGCTTTGGACCACCTACACAGTACAGCATAATGTTTTCTTATACGGGATCACATACAACGTTGTATGTAGCTTGCTATGGTTATACTCTGTAAGGGCTTGATTCTGCAGGGCGCTGAACACTCTGGTCCCCATCTGACAAAGCACTGAGGCCTGTGCTTATCTTTAAGGAAGCATGTGAGTACTGTCACCTGCAAAGTGACTAATGATGCTCTTAGCGAAAGCTAAGTATGTGTTTAAGTACATTGCTTGAGTAGAGCCATAGCACTCGGCCCCTTGCACAACTGAACCCTAGTTGGACCCTTTACCAGTTAAAAACATGCCAATGGAGGAAAGAGATACATATTGTTTTTTGCTGAACAGCTTGGCTCTAGATATGGCAGCCAATTCTGACCACCCACAACAATACAATGGAATCAACCTGAGAGGTTATTTTCAGTAAGATTTAAGTTCATACCCTTAATACCCACACTGTCTTTGAAATATCTCCCACCTGCAGAGAGGCAGCATATATCCCACAAGGAACTTCTTGGAATTCAATCTTGGACCCAATTCTTCATGGACTTGCACCTGCTGTTGTTGATACTTGTGCAAAGTGGACATAAAACACAGCCTGACTGGGTTGTGTTCTACATCCTCTTTACAATCATGACGCACGGGCATAGGCTACTACACAAGGTACAAGGTAGGGGGGAATGAAGCCCCTTATGTTTGCTGACAATGTCCTCTTTTTGAATGTATGGATTCAGTGTTATATTTAGAAAACTACATTTTGAAATACAAAAAGATGGAGTGAAACCAGCCTTCCATGAAGAATCCTGCTCTGCTTGAAGCGCGCTCTTTTCTTGGGAAGCAAAACAGTGACGGTCAGGCAGCCACACACTTTTCCAGGGAACGTGAATTTCTTTGTATTCAAAACTGTTCAAGATGGGCCGATCCTTACAGTAGTTCTCCCTCATCCTTCTTCTAAGGTGCTCACAAATAGAAAGGAATGTTTGGTTTAAGTGCTTTAATGCCTGGGGTGCAGGCCTGTTGGAGACTTCACCCAGGAGAGTCATTCCCAGAACAACACCAAGTGCTTCAGGGGTCTTTGTAGTTGGGTGACAAATGCTTGCAGGGATGAGGGGTGACTGAAGACAGAATGGATGCACTATCAGCTGGGCTTGGACAAATATGGTGAATCCACATGCCAGGAAGTCTTTAAACATAGGTGCCAGATCTTGGCATGACTCCCACCAGGGGTATTTTCTCTTACCGAGGGATGTGCCAGCAGGTCTGATGAAGGAGCAGTACCCATCACATGTAAATACAATTTTCATTTTTTTTCCCTATTTTTATTTTTTTTAAAAAAAGGCAGTTTGGAAGATTTACATTGTACGTAACAGGGAAGTGAATAATACCAGCACTTATGGTTCCTTTTAATTATGTTTTTAAGACGGCATAGTAGTCAGGAAGAATTGAACTGCTACGGTCTATGAAACCTAAAAGAAAAAGGGTGAATGAAAAAAAGGCAATATTCTGCAACAGAAATATTCTTACCTGCATGTTAATGTAAAGGCATCATTATCTAACACTTAGAGCAAGGCACTGGAAACCAACATCTCTGGTTTTCTGTGCAAAGTTGGTCCTCAATCTACCCACCTAAAAATGGGCCTAAACAACAGTAACAGCAAACTCAGTGTTGTTACAAGTTTTTAAGGACCTAATACAAAGCCTAGGGAAGTTGATGACAAAGTCTGGATCAAACCTTTAGGATACATCTCCACAGAAGTTATTTTAGATTAACATTGCACTTTACATTTTCACCCTGTCTGATTCCAGAGTACTTTATTTGTTTGGACAAACCCTTAGATTTTCAGGTAAAAAGAATTCATATAAATCTTTCAGTTTAGAGACATTTGGTGTTAAATTCACAGCTCTCCTGCAGGCACTGAATCATAACCAAAAGGATTTTGTCCCCAAGTCGTTCAGACAGGATGGGGGACAGTGTTTAGGTGTTGATTTTTTACTGTCATGAACTAATTCATCTGTACTATTCACATGTTTGATCCAGCACGTATATCAATGCCTTAACAACAAGAATAGCTCATGACCCTGATAATTATTTTATAATGGCTACTTAGCTGAGTTTATTTAGGAGAATTACTGATTCTGCTAAGTGTGTGCCCTGTAAGTAAATGTTTTTTGGGGCTGCTAGTCTAACCAGAATACCTCTGTTGAAGATGGACCTTCTTTTAGCTTTAGTATGCTGGGTAAGCCAAGGATAGCTGTGGGTTAGCCGGTATCCCTACACACCAGGATGGCTGTTTCATCTAAATCTAGACTGAGCTGCAAGTACCTTTCACAATTAGGTCCTTACTAAGTTAGAGGTTGGGTGGTGGCTAAATTTGATAGACCCATATCAGCTTTAACATCAATCCACTGAGGCCATCAGTTAGTTTAGCAATGAATATTGCATGCATATTCTTGGCAGTACTGCTGTCAGAACTGACACTGACCTGGGACCTCATGGTTCAAAAGCAGCTGCTCACCTCTTGCAAACATTTGAACACTAGGTTGCTGCTACATGGCTCCTCCCTTGCCCCCACAATTTTTTATTCCTACTGATCAGTTCAGCAGGGCTGAATGAAATCTTTCCACTCATTCAGTTTCTTTGGTCTAGTATTCACTTGCAATTCTTTGGTTTGTATTAGCAGCATGTGGGATTCCAAGAGCACCTTTTACTGAACTAATAGCCAGGCACAGGACTGCTTAGCTTCCTAGGCCAGATGCATTCTATCATGTCATGTAAGTATTCAGACTATTACATAACTTTAAATACAGCAATCTATGAAGAAGTCATTTGAATTAGCTAGGGTAGGGGTGGCCAATTGCGCCATGTGTGCCACAAGTAGCATGGACCATGAATGCTTGGTGCCTCCCGTGACTGGGGGGCCACCATGGTGGCGAGTGGGGATCGGGGACCGGCTGCAGCCACCGTCCGCATTGTTGGCAGCAGTGAGCAGGGACTGTCTGCAGCCGCTGCCAGGTGCATTGGTAGCGGGGGGTGGGGGGGAGGGTGGTCACTGCCCACAGAAGCTGCCAGTGGCTTTGGCAGCAGACAACCTTAGGGGGTGCACATGCCCCCCTGTGCTCCCACTACACATCGCCTATGGCAGGGACAGCCTCTGTGTGTGGCATGCAGCGGACTAGGGAGGGGATAGGCAGCACAGGAGCAGATAGGGCAGGGAGCAAAAAGCAGAACAGCCAGTCGGAGAAGGGGATCAGAGTGGCACTCAGGGAGGGTGTGGGACTAATTTGTGGCATATCTGCCAAAAAGTCTTGCCTCCCACTAAGCTAGTGGATCATTCCTGAAAATGAGCAGAAGCCCAATGTATTAAAAGAAATTACTTCAACTTTTAATTTTCATAAATACAGATCTACAGGTGGCGAATTAATTCAGCTGTAATATTTTCAGCATCACTCTTAAAGTTATTAACTAAATTTTGTATAAGTACTTCTGGCAGTCTTCCCTAAGTGTACAAATACTAGAGCTGCTCTGGTTTTGTCAAGACTTCCCTTTTAACATGAATACCTACAGTTGTTTCAATCTATAAAAGAATAAAATGAACTAGGTGTAGGACTTTGCTAACTGCAGAGAGCCCAATTTTCAGAGGTGCTGAGCACCTACAGCTCCCATTAGTTTCACCTGGAATTGCAGGGGGTTAGCAGCTCTTAAAATAAGCCCCAGAATAGAAACAGCAAGGAGAGGGGCTGGGAAACTTCTTGATCCATCAAAGTGCCTAGAGTATGGGCTTCTAGAAATGAGATGTTAGCTCAGGCTCCTAACTCATTCAGTCATCAGCTTTTCTGCCTAGATCAGCATTAATTGATATCCTTGTAGGTGGTTATAATGCTGAACTTGATACTCCGCCACTGAATTGCCTATGAAAAGACCTGGAACTCAGGAATTAATAAATGGAATAACCTGAGTATTCAACAGTACATGATTTGTGTTTCCATTGCAGAGTAACAGCATCTTGACATGCATTAGCTCTGCAAAAGGAAGATTGCTATAATTCCCTGGCTTTTCTTTTCCTTTCAGACACAAACTGTTTATTTTAGATACTGGAACAAGTGAAATGCAAAGGAAAGGGATGCTGAATGAGCAAAAATAAGGAAAGAAGAAAAGAAAAGAAATTAGATTAAACGAGGTTAAGAACTGGCACAAAACTGTATACAAACATGCAATACTGAAGTGTGTGCGTGTGCGCTCATGGTTTGATTCTGGCTGTTGTCTGCATGTGGCTATGAGTTCAGTATGTGCTTAGGAAATGAACTGGTATGTTTTGCAAATCAACAGTATTCCTTCGTTTACTTAAAAAAAAATCTCTCAAGCCTACCTTGTTAGATGCTTACCTTGTTAGATGCCGACTTAATTCATGAACTTCCATTTCAGTGCTTTTAAATTCATTGAGCTCTTTCCGAATGGCTGCCTGCAAATGATGAAGAAAGCCATAAATACACAAATGGAAGATCAAGACAAACTGCTTTGAATACAGAGTGAACTTATTTCTTAATGAGTGAAGAGGCCGTAAATACTGTTTTCAGTGAGAGGGGAGAAAAAGGCTGTTTAAAATATTAAAAAAGAAAGATGAATATGATCTAAACCCCATGGAGGCAAGCAATATCTCAGCTGAAGGCACCTGTCTGAATCGTGAGACACAGGGTCTTGTTCTGGTTTCTCCCGCAAATACCCTTAAACAGGTGCAGGCATATATGTTGGAACAGCAACAGAAAGCAAGCTGAGACCAACTAATCTCATGCTACAGCTGAGTGACTTCCAAGCTTCGACTCTGCAGAAGCCAAAGAGAGAAAGTATTAGAGTGCCTTTATTGAGAGTGCCCTGCTACCTGCTCCTATTAATTCAACCTCTAAGACAGAGAGCAAGATCATTTAGTCCTACAGAGCTGATGGTGTAGCAGGACACACAACAACATCTATAAAGTCATGGAAGTGGCAGGTCCTAGATACATCAGAACTTTATAAATGATAACCGAATGCACTCACAGCAGACAGGAAGCCAGTGTAGGGTACCAAGTGTGAATGCTAAAGGCTCTCATAGGCCTGTGAAAGGCCGATGGCCACGTTCTGTCCTGGCAGAGAATTTGGAGAGGTCTGCAATGCTAAATGAAGCATATCCAGCTGTCCGGTGAAAAAGAGCAAAAGGCATGTGTAACCATGATACAGGATAACATTTTTTCAGAAGTGTCTAGGATCCATAAGGTTAAGGTATTTAGATACTTAACTCATAAATACCTTTGGGAAATTTAGAGCCTAAATTTCACTGAGGTAATAATGAGACTCCCAGCTTGAATGGCCCCATTATTTATTTGAAATAATAGTTTTATGCATAATCAGAACTCTTAGCAAGAGATGGTGCTAATTAAGGCCCCCCCGCCCCGATACATGTTACACTTCAGATGTGATTAACTGGTTAATCATGTCTCAAGAAGTGACCTGGCCACACATTCAATAAATTAATGGTGTGACAAAACAAGCAAAAAGCCACAAAGTGATTACACACAATATGTGTAATAACTTGTCAGCTGGTTCCTATCCTGCATTTAATTGAATGTGTGGCCGATGCCCAGCCGTGGAGCACATGGGAGCCTTTCAAGACTCTTGTGCATTCTGTCGGCGGGGAGTGTCCCTCAACTGATCGGGGCTCTCAGCCGTGAGCACATCATGACTCCCATGGCTGGGAGCCCCAGTCAGATTGTCATGGGAGCGTACCTTGCACTTCCCCAGCTGGGAGCTCCAATCAGCTGACTGGTGTTCCTAGGTGGGGGAGTGCAGGAAGCCAGGAGCTTGCTACTTGCCAGTGCAGGGCACATGTATGGAATAGCAGAATGCATGATTGTTGGGATCCTGCATCAGATCCCATTGTGCCTCTACTTAAATATCTGTCAGAGGCCTATGAGCCAAAACCAGCATCAAATCCCAGCAGCTGGACCTGCTGGAAAGAATTTCCGTCAGCTCACTTGAGTGGGTCAAAGATCAGCCCTGACTGAAGAGCATGTTGAGTCTCCAAGCAGCAAATCTGCTGATGTCAGAGCCCAGGATCTATTCTAGAAGCTATTATCTTTGAACTTCTGGCTTGTTAGGTTATTGGCTATCAGTTGATGCTGCTACTTTTGTACATGGTTATAAAAACTTTTAGTCATGGCAGCCCCACTGTCACTTATTTAGGGATATCTCAATGGGTTTACCTCTCTAACAGTACAGAGACCAGTACAAGAGAGACCCTGTGCCAGAATGATTTATCCAAGTGCAAATTGCTTTCACCTAGACAAGTCCTAAGTGATATGCTTCGTGAACATGAACGCAGGTCTGGGCCCTCTGTGCTTTTTACATATAGCTTTGTTGTTTTATTTATTTTGAAAATAACTGGCAGGCCTTGCCTCATCTGTCACTGCAGAGGGTGATGTCTATGCAGCAACCCAAGAGCCTACCTTCAGCCAACCAATTTGCTGCTTAAGTGACTGTGAAGGGGCCACACAGGCAGCTGACTCCCACAAGGTCTGAGATCTATTATCCCACACATGTCTTGATCTATTGTTAAGATTTAAGATGCCCTTTTTATTCTTCAGGCAGTTAAAGTTGGTATAGTTGAAGTGAGACTGAACACAATTCCTTATACCCAGAACAGAGAGCAAGATAAAGTGACAAACAGAAAATCCATTACAAAAATGTATTTTTGCAACAAATCTCCTCTGCATTAGCTAGTGAAGATGGAGGTATTGGATCACAGTTTTGAAGGGGAATCATCTTTTACAGGGGACTTGCAGCCCTGTCAGGCATTTTCAGAGCTGGTTTGAATTTGCTTTGCTGTCTGTTTTAGGAGTGGAAATGGGATGGAGAAAAGCAGGAACTGTGAGTGTCAGGAATTATGGCACTGATCACAAGACCGGACTCTCATAAGGAAAAATAGGCTTGTGCTCTTTCTTTGCTTCCTTATACATACAGATGGACTAAGAACTGGGAATGCCAAGTCTTTGTTAGAGATCTCACTCAGAGAACCCAAGAGCTCAGTAATATGGACTGATATTTACATAAATCAAAGTTGAAATAGGGTGCAAGTTACTTTTTCCCACTATTTGCTGCCCTTCCATGCCATCCTAAACACTGGTACTTAGCACTTTCATACTACTTTCCAGTAAAAGAAAGAGTAAGAGAGATTCTTAGGTTACTGAATAATGTCTCTTGGCATCACAAGTATCCAGCTCATATAATCAAACCCTTTAATTCCAGTCATAGATACATAAATGCTTCACAAAGCTGAACAGTCATTCATTTCCGCCATAGATAAAATAGAAAAAAAAATACTGTAAAATACAAATTAGTTCCTAAGGGGTGCTTTTCACAGGACACTCATAATGGCAAAAGCTGGAGTGTAAATTGTCACAGATATATGCTGTGTACAGATGTTCATTTCTACTAGTAACACATTTTTACTGGTAGCAAAATAGCTTTGGATCTGGAATATGTACATATGTTCCAGCCTCACGACTGGAGAGTTTCATAGGCGAGCTCTCCAGTCAGGGGGATTAGAGGGTGGGAAAAAGCCAGTTCTCTTCCGCAGGAATCTTCTTCAACATCTGTACAGCTCTCTGTGCCAAGAAAAGCTTTTGGAATAATACTGACCTATGGCCTAACTCTGCTGGCACCACTGGCAAAACATTCCCTCAGAGACATAGTGCATGTATCCTACATGTGTCATTAAGGCACTGTGATAAACTGCAGCACAGTTCAGGACTGCAGCAGTTTGAGCTGGGGTAGGGCAGCCCTGGAGAGGCTGACTGGAGCATGAGGGTAATAAACTGCAGGGCTAGGTGGTGGGCAGCTGCCCGCACATTAGCACTGTCATGCCCCAGCCAGCCCTTGTTACTGTCTACACGTGCAGTTCAGTGTATGTAATTACTCTGCTGTAGGACAGTACTATTGCCAACAGTACTATCCTACGGTGGAATTAATTAATTTACTGCGCCCTAATACCAGCGCACTTATAGACACTGATGATTTACTGTAGAGCTAATTAGTCAGCTTCAGTAAAACACGTGTAGATGCACCCAGGAAAATCAAGATCACAGTAAGTCAGAGGCAGTGCTGGAGTTAGAAGCCACAACTCCCCCTCCTGTTCCCTAGCCACTGCCTGTTTGTAATAGTCCAGGGTTGACCCAGCCCCACAGTAAAAAAAATAAATCAGGTCCTGATTTCCACATTCATTGATGCCTTATAAACTTAAAGGGCTTGAAAGTGCACAAAATACTTATGAGATGCATAGTCTCATCGTCCTCAGAACTGTGAGAAAAGCTTAACATTTTTCTGTCCCTTTTGTGGAGACTGTCATCTTGTCTGCCTGAGAAAAGGCAGAGCAAGTTTACAAAATAGTAACAGACATGGTACTATATATGCAAGACAAAAAAAAAATAAGATGGAATCAACACAAAGTATGAAAAAAGCTCACCTCTTTCCCCTTGCACTATTAATCTTCAGTCTATGAATTACTTGTGCCAGAACATTAACCCCTTTGCTGCTAGCCTCTATTAGACTCCATGGTGTGGTGACAGTCACAAGAGAGTGCCCTTTTTGCTATGTACCTGGGGCATACAGCAGCAATTAAGTGGTTAAAAAACTATGTGGAGAGTGGGAGAGATATCCTGCTTGAAGCATGATATGTCTACCCATTTTGTCTTCCAACAACGATACTGGATGATATCTTCAACTGTACCATTGGCTTTCACTGAACTCACTGAATTTTCATGTACCCATTACAATTTTGTACTGTAGGATAAATTATGTGACTGCAATTCAGGTGAGTACTTCAGAAGTACTGGTTCATTAATGCTGTCCCCCAATATTCATGGAAAATTGTGGATAGGAACTACTCATTTGTAAACTGGCAGAACAGGGCAAAAAAATAAAACAAATACAAGGGCAACTAACATGGTCTCTTCTTCTAAGATTTTAAATGAGTGTAATGCAACTGACTCCAGTGGAGCTGGTCCTGGTGACTGGAGAATGATATCTAATGTTCATAACTAGAAAACATAACAAACTAAGATAAGCAGAAAAGACAAAAACATGGATGCCTTTGGAAGGCAATGGAGTTGAGTCAGTCCCGTGAGTGCTGCGGTTCCACACCATATCACACCAGCACCGTGGAACCTAGTAACCCATTCAGGGGTCTCCTACTTCCCTCCACCTGCAGCTCACTTTACTTACTTTGTCAGCAGCTGTGAGCCGCGTCCAGGGTTTGTCTGCCCTTCTGTCATAGTCCTGAGCGTCTGCCACTTCCACGTAGTCACTAAAGCGGATGAGGATTTTCCTTTCACGTAATTCTTCAACTGTAGGCCTTTGACTCAGCTGCAGGTGTTAGGGGAGGAATGGCACCAGAAGTCATTTTTTTCAACTCAACGTTATTTGTTGCCTTGTCTTACGGGCAGAAACGTTATAATGATATCAGGTCCCAAAATAAATGTTCCCAGCATCACTGGCTTTTATTAGCCTCTGCACATTCATGAAGCAGATGACAAGCCACTGTTTTGTCTTCCTTCCAATAGACAGGAGTGCCCCCCCCTTGTGGGCTGCACTGCAGCTATGTTATGCTGCATCACTGTAAAGTAGTAGGTGTAAGGGCAATCCTGTAGTGGTCTAAAGCCGATATGTCATTTCCCCTTACTGCTGAGGTAGGGGCTGTGGCTCTGTTGATATCTGGATGCTGACGGCACCCAGCAGAAGTTTAGAGTTGGCACCAGAAACTGGTAGGGCTGTGCAAAGCTTCAGTCCCTGATTTGATTAGATGGAGATTCGGCCTGATTCGGTGGCTGAATCTCTGAATCTGAATTGAATCAGAAGACCCTCTAATCTCTCTGAATCAAATAGGAACCCTCCTAATTGATTCAGAGAAATTCAGAAAGCTTCGGCGATTCAGATCTAGACATAGCTTTAAATGTTTTTTCTACGTATGTCAAGGTACCAGGTGGCTCATGAATGCAGTGATGGTGGGGTGGATGGAGTATCTTGCAGGAGCACGTGGGGGTGGGGGGGGGTTCCCAGCGCGCTAGGCAGCAGACCCGGAAGTGGACCAGAAGCACTTCTGGTCCACTTCTGGGTCCTCCGGGGAGCACGCTGGGGACCCCTGACCCCCCAGCTGAGCAACTGGTGCCTCCTGGGTCTGGGGGGGCACCTGGGGTCCCCCCTGCAACTGATCACCAAGCCATGGGGGTGTGTATGGGGGGGCCCCAGCGCACTAAGTGGCGGACCTAGAAGTGGACTGGAAGCACTTCTGGTCCACTTCCAGGTTTGCCACCAAGCATGTGGGGGGGGGGCCCTGTGCTCTTGTGGGATGCTCCAGCCACCCCAGCATTTATGAGCCATGCCTGGTACCTCAAGATATGTAGAAAAAACTTTTAAAGCTGTGTCTACGGTCAAATAGCTGATTCTCCAAATCAGCATCGAATTGAATTGGGGACAGTTATCTGAATCAACTAATTGAATCACTGGCCCCCATTCAGGCAGACTCCAAATTCAAATCGAATATGGCCCATTTTGCACACCCCAAGACACTGGCCCAGTGCACAGCCAGCACAATTAGTCTCTAAAGGTGCCAACTTGTTCTGCCTGTTGCCTGACTTCAGATTAGCAAAACTAACTACTACATGTGCACTGTTGCTAACTATTGCAGTCCATATCATATCAGCACTGATAAAAGGAAAATTGACATTATTGGCAGTAGGCTTTTTTAGCTGATGTGGCTGATAATGTCACTGATAAATGCTGCGAGCATGTGCAGCCAGCCTAGCAGCTTGGAGGAGCAGCGTCCAGCTGGTAAGTATGCTGGGGGTGGAAGGGGCAGGAGGGGCAGATCAAGGCCCCTATGGTGAGGGACAGAGTGGGGCTGAGGCAAGGGCAGGGGCTGCACAGCCAGGGCAGGGTGTGGGACAGAGCTGCAAGTGACTTGTCTGGGGGTGTGGGGGGTCAGGGGGAGGCTCCCACCACTGTGTGCACCCTGGGGGAGCCATGGGGGGCATATGCCCCTATGTGAGGGTGGGCTGGGGCTGGGGGTGGCATCGGGCTCTTCCTGGTGGGGGGGTTGGGTTAGGGCTGTGCTCAGGGCAGGTGGTGGCTTCACACGGAGGG